AGAACATTCCTAGTTTATAAAATTCCGGAAGTGTAATAACCATTAGCTTGTTCAGTAATATTCTGCTTCATAAAGTTGGTAATTGTAAACTCCGTTTTGGGATTCTGAATATCTACTGTAGCAATATAGGAACAACCTTCCTCTAGCTACATTTACTTCTGAAATCTAGTAATGAGGACTGCTGTAAATCTCCCCACAAATCTAAGCAAAGGCTTTTGTGTATCCAATCTCCAAATTCTAGACACGACCGTGGCCAAGTAATTGGCAATCGCTCCATAATATATGAAGATTTTAATGATTAATTATCGATATGATTAAAAGAATTTTGAGGGGTTTGCACAATTGATTTGAGGGGCAATTCCTGTGACGGAAATCTATTCATATTCGCAAAACGGCCTGTTTTATCTGCATGTAAATTACACCCAACGTAGAGGTCACCATAGAAACATACCAAGAATATATTCACGAAGAATTTTCCGTACTAAAACGATTATCAAAATGTTTGAACATAAACAGACGACCGGAAGATCTGAGTTTTAAATCCGAAGAGTTCGCTAGAAATAAGAAACATTAACACAACTCCATATTTTGGGGTATTACAAGACTTTTATATTTGATCACAAGTTTCTATAATGCAGCTCACATATATAAACCTTAATCCGTATATTTTAATATTATCCTCTCATGCACGCCTGTGTCTCAGTGTAGTACCTAACTGTAAATGTTTCAAATAAAAACTTTATTTACGTAATGTTTTTAATTTATCCACATGCAAGCCATGTCATTGATCTATGATTGGTGCAGAATCATTTAGAAAGTATTTTGGTCTAATTCTATACGATGGACGTTGCAGAAATATCCAGGTGATATTGCTATTATGTAATACAATGTCCTGAGGTTTGGTGTGGTACTATTGTATTTGCTACCAAATTTTTTTAGAATGGAAACCAGCTTCTAAGATATACGAAATATATGAATGTGTGAATTTTATTCATCCAGCATAGGACAGTGACAGAAATCAGGCTCTTGTGAACACGGAAATTAACTTTCGAATTCCATAAAATGCGGGAAATTTCTTGAAGAGCTGAACGAGTATGTTCCTCAAGAAATACTGTGACCTATATGATTAAATATTTTAGTTAATTAGCAAAAAATAATTAACCACTTTAGCTGACATGCAAAGTTTCGGTAATAAACATGCCTACAATGTTAGCTTGTACATATAAAACAACATGAACATGGCGATGGTGCAAAATTGTAAATATATATTAGAATTAATTATGTTAATAAATGTTATTGAATTGCACAGCTGATATTTGTATTTCTTGCTGGACTTAATTTATAGACAGACACATTTAAAGTGACATAGTCACTGTAAATACTTCGCAGAACTCTGTGCTTAGAGGGACCTGACTGCAGCTTTGTTTCATCCAGATACATACAAGAGGAAAACGAAGCGAGAATTAAGACAAAACAAACGCATTCAAAATATTTGTTGGAAAACCTACACGTAGGCAAATGGATCTTAACGACATGAACCTGTATTTTTAATACAGCACCGGCGTGTGAACTTGTTTAAAATTTATTAACTGACCAAATAAAAAAGTAACTTGTATTTATTAAATGTATTCGTGTTCATAAGAATATTTATTACATTCTTGTTACAACATTATTTGTCCCCTAGAAACGTTAAGGAATTCACAAATATTTCATTTATTTTTAAGAGATGGTAAAGTTGCGTCATATTGTGATATAATAAATATATATTATTTAAATCTTGTCCGTCTAATCACAATAAATTCTTATTAAATATTAAAATATTACAATAATTAACATTTAAAATATTTAAAATATTAAATGATGTTCTTTATCGAAATATTCGATTTACATTAGACCATCATTTTTCACGACATGTTTCAGTTCCTACAAGAACTATCTTCAGGTGTATGTAATTATATAAAGATTCAAATCAATAATAACTCAGATACAATTTCTATATATTATTTTAAATTTTAAATGTTAATTATTGTAATATTTTAATATTTAATAAGAATTTATTGTGATTAGACGGACAAGATTTAAATAATATATATTTATTTTTAATTTATTTGTCTTTGTTATGTATGCTTTTGGTTTATTTTTTGTGTTTCCCCCTTGTCTTCTTAATTCTGTTTCCATTTTCGTTTCTCTTTATTCTACTTTTGCTTTGCATTTTCAGTTCTTTATCTTATTCCTTTGTTTTCTTTGAATTTTCGTTGTGCTCTCCCCTACTTCCTTGTATTCTTTCCCTCTTTTCTTTGTGTGGTTTCATATTTCTTATTTATTTTCCTTTTTACCTACACACTCATTTCAATCGGAACACATCCTTCCACTCTTGTTTAACAGAGTTCAAAAACCTTTTATTTTGTTTTAAAAGTGAAAATTAACGGAGATGCCATGAACAGGGTCAACACTGAAAATGAACTCGTGCCATGTGGCAGGAGTTTCATACGTAGGCCACTAGGTCGAGTAATTCAAACAGATCCGTTTGAACGTGCACACACATAATGTGTTTACAGAAACGCACAACACCTGGTGAACGGCAGGCACTTCAAAATGCAAACACAGTGGTTTATTTCAAAGAATCCCATATGCTTATTCAGGAAATAGTATAATAACATTCTGTTCCGTTCTAAAGTCAACAAAGCAAGGTACATTTTTATGTATCTACATAAGATGGCTTGTAAAATGACGTGAGGAATAATTCTGGGACATTGAAACAGGCGTAGTGATTAAATATTTTCATTCTTGTAATACAGTTGACTAACTATCAGCGTAAATTACTGCTTGGTATCGGGTCTTTTTGAAGACACGGAAAGTTATTCTGTTATCATATGAGGCGAAGGTTTGTTACTTTCATCATAAAATTCTTTAATTTCTCAGATCCTGAATAATCCCATCTCTCACTGCGGAACAATAATTCCTGAAACACATGAATATTTAAACCCAGGACTGCCACTTTAACGGAGTATTTCTAAGGTTTCTCCGTGTCCTCCTACGAAATTCCGGGATAGCGTATTAAAATTGGCCACAGCGGAATAACTACATCCTTATTACGTCTTCATTAATAATCTGTATGAAGATGGAATTCTTCTGGATGTTGCGCCGTGTAGTCTGGTAGATATTACCGACGTTTCAGAGGTCCTTGCTGCCTCTATCATCAAGGCGATAATCGTAGGGACATCTGAAACGTCGGTAAACTTCTACCAGACTAAACAGCTCAACAACTCAGGAGATAGCCATCTTTAGACTCACCCTCGTAAAAAACCTCAAATCCTATTTAATAATCTATATGATTCATTAGCTGAGATTTCTACACAGAGGCTGTGTTCCTTGAACACCGGGTTCATTAATATTTATCAAGTATGCCTTTAAGCAATAACAATCACTAATCCGCCAATATCAATTAAAGAAAGCAAAAAAACGCTACATGTTTCGGCCTTAGAAGGCCATCTTCACAGTGGTTACTTATCACAAAACGGGATACAACGTTTAAAAAGAATTCATAACACGACATCTATCACTCGACACTAATCAACAGACGCAGTGGAAACATCGTATTTAAATAAACAAACTGACACTGATCATTCAGAACCATCGTACGTTTTGACGCTACAAACTTAATAGAGTGACCAGGAAGGTAAAATTCCTCTGTCTGTCTGGGGATCAAGGAGACAGTCACTTTACTGACTTTTCTCTAGGCTCCTCAACAAACAAAAGAACAATATTATAACAGATCACATTTGTGTAGTTTTAACTCCCTAAATCTGTATTCTGTAGTCAACTGGTTCGATTCCTAGAGGTATTACCGGCTTTATTGAATTCAGATTTCCGTAAACGTCCTCAGTCTTTGTCTATCAAGTTCATTTTATGCTCATCATTAACACTGCATTTATTTTACATAACTTTGGTAGATGAAATATTGTACTTAAGTGCCAAGACTCACTGAAGCAACATTATTCCCTTGTGTGAGTTTGTAACGATCAGCGTTATAGCCATTGTCTTCCCAAACATATTTACATACGTAGGTCTATCTATTGTTTCTCAATTTTAGTTAAAAATAAGACGAAATTAAACTAGCCACGGCCCTTACTCTATTCTTCGTAGGCCCAACACCAAGAGAATGCATGTAGTATATCTTAGTGTGTCACACGCAGGCCGAGACATTCATGAAAATGAAACCAACGTACTCCTTCGTCAGCAAAGTGTTCCTCCGCGGTAGGAAGAACGGACAGGTTTTAAAAGAAGCAGGAGAAGGAATGGGGAAAAAGAGAATGTAATAGCACAGTAAGACGAAGACAAAAGAAACAAAGATCTTAATTATTGATTAAATTAGAGGTATATTAACTGCATTTCGTCACACACGCCAGCCGAATGTGTAAGCTTGTTTTACCGCGAGTTCGTGGAGAAAAGACGACGGTGGAGAACCAGTTCAAGTCTGACCAGCCCATATTTAAGTTATCTACGCAGGAGTGACCAACTTCCGTCTCTTTCATCTCCTCCCCCTCTTCTTATTCTTCTTATTCTCCTCCTCCTTCGTCGTCTTTATCATCTGTGAGCCCCTGAATGAGCACAGTATTTAATTTTTTTTTTAAAAAAACGAGGTTTGTGTTCTACCTCGTATAAACGTATACAATCCGAACTCAAATGACTGAACGAGTAGAAATGTCGACAGTATCGTACCAGCCCACCTGAAGTTCCTCCTTCTCCCTTCTGGCTCTTGTCCACACGTTCACCTTCCTCTTCTACCTCCAGACATATTCTTGTCTCTGTCACTCTTACATGTTCTCTTCATCATTTGACACATTTTTTAAATTGTGGATGTTTCGTCGTCGTCACGGCTACCACCACCATCACCACAGAATTCCGAAGTACCAACCACGTCAATGAAAACGTTTGCCAAGGCAGACTGTACCTTAGGGTTTTTTTTAGTGTGGGGGGGAAACGAATAAAAGTGACCAACGTGTAAGGCTAGGATCACAGTCGATCATTCGAGAAGCAAGCGACAGCTACATCGAGTGGTGTTCTGTACATTAAGAAGTCGGAGCACCAAGTGTGGGGAGACAGGATGACGGCTATCAGCAAGTGGACGCTGATATTCGCGGCTGTGGGCGTAGCGATTACATCCGCTTTTCCATCACCCGAAGAATACGATGCTAGAGGAAACATCGATGTTCCTACAGAAGAATCAGCGTCTCTTATTGAAGAAGGGGTCGAGACAGCGTATCGATTCTTTCAAAGTTGCGGAGACAAAGAAATTGCACTTTGTTTAAAGATGAGGGCATTGACATTTGTGGACAGAGCACTCAGGAGACCCGGTGATGTGGATCTTGTAGATGGAGTGTCCCTAAAACGTACCCAGGACGACCTCGACGTTTCCCGTGAACTGAACGGTCGGGCTTTGTCAGAGGCTGAACTAGACGCTAGCCTGCCTAAAAATGCTGATGAAAGAGACGCTCAAGTCGAGACGCTGCTAGTTGATAGAATTGCGAGGTTCCTCCAGAGTCACACATTGCAATTCAAGGTTCCTGATTCTGCAATCTCGGAAGTGAAGAAGACACTCGATGAAGGTAAATGTTCCACTTATTTTCATTCCTTAGAGCATCTCCAAAGTCTTTGAAGCAGTGACGATAGTGGTTTATTACTTAATGAAGCAAATTAAGAAGTTGTCCATCTTGCGTAACCCTTTCTTATTTTCCAGTAGGGGTCTACTAAGCAAATTAAGAAGTTGTACATCTTGCGTAATCCTTTCTTATTTTCCAGTAGGGGTCTACACTTTTCTACAGATAAAATTTAACAGATCCCGCTTTCTAGCCCATTGAATTTTGTACATGATTGTCTTATTGGCTTTGTAGACATTGAACGACGTTTCCAACATCAGAGTGTCAGGCATCGAGTTCATACAGGATTTTAAGTCACCCAGTAAATTATATTCATTACAGTTTCTTGGTAGATTTCTTACCAACCTATGAGTATGCGTGTTTCATAAAGTTTTCGTCTTTAAATAAGTAATTACCTTTGCCTTTTAAGATAAATCTGTTGTTATAATCAGTAATACAATTGTAATAATTACTTCGTGGTGTTTGAACCATTCCTCGAATTTTTTATTAGATCAAACTTACACTTTCGTCATCATTAAATACAAAGTGTTTTAGAACTTCAATGGCTACCATTTGCTTTTTCCGATAGAAATAATTTTGTCTGTTTGTAAGATTTGATTTGTTAGCTTTACATAAAAACTCAATATTAAACTGCTACTTTTAAAAGACCCCTTTTAACAGAAGTTATGTGACGATTTAACTCGTTCGCAGGATGGAAAGGGAAACGTAATGTGCTAAAGAATACAATATATAATACCTTGGATACTTTCTACTGTATTATTTACTTTTTAATTACTGTAGAAGCGTCTTGCAAACAGAGGCCTACAGAGGACTATCTTAGTTTACTACCAATGAATTATGGTGTAAGAGATCTGTTCTCCAGTGGAGTACATATGCCTTGAAATTGCGTCATTCTACTTTATACCTTTGCTGTATTAATGGCCCTCCACTGCAGGGGCAAATCTACTTCTGTGTTATATTTCAGTTTCTTTTGTACTAAAAATCATTTCTGAGAACTCGACTTTCGACACAGTTAAATAAAAAGGAAAGATTATCAAGGATAATGAAAAGTAACGGTCAGGAAGATAATAAATTATTGCCACGTAATTCACCTTTAAAAATTAAGGTCACTAACAAGAACCTGAGAGCGGACGGTACTCAGACCAGGTATTTGTCTGTATAACACGTACCTCGATTATTTGGAGGATGTGGACAGACATGACCTCAGGTTGTGCGTTCATTTTATACACTTCGTACATACCACGTGCTTCGCGTATCGCCCTGGAAGTCACTGGCAGGAACACGTACATTAACGACAGAGGCACTGACCTACTTGTACTCGTAAAACAAGAGAAACATGACATGTGATTCATCACATGAGCCTTCATGTGTGAAACCGGAATAATAAAGGATTTGTCTTAGCGACCGCAAGATCTCTAGTACACACTAACGCCATTGGTTACAGTCAGTCACAAAGCGTAGTTTCCTTGACCTCAGCCATGCCGAGGCACAAGAACTGACAAGCAAATAGGAAACTTCTGCTTCGTCACATTTTCTCCTCCTTCATATCATCTTATTCTTCTCTCCAATTTCTTCGTAATTATTACCTTCCTATACTCTTCCATGTATTTCATCTTTCATCATCATAATTTTCTCTATCATCTTCAATCGAAAGTCTTGGTTGAGTGATTAGAATCCTGTTTCGTATTCGGGATGTCCGGGGCTGTTTTCAGGAGCTGGTTGGTATGATACCGCAAACAAGTTTAAAATTTGAAGTAGAAGAAATACAATTAATATAAGAAGGCCTCTAGCACCACTGTTTGCTTTGAGACATGACTTCCAATTATTATTTTTACGCATTTCTAAAACAGGGCTACTTTATATCGGGACTCAATTAAGTTTACGTCAAAGGGGATTCGAACGTGTCATCAAATTTGCTCGTGACAAGACCGTGAACACCTTACATCAAGCGATCACCGGAATTAACTTTCGAAGAAACTAAAACCATATTATTAAGCGTTCAGATAGGTATCTAGTGACTGGATAAAATTGTAGTGAGAATCAAAACCGAAACACAATATATTAATGGGAATCATTACCATTGCCACAATTATTATTTCCTTAAAAAAGTCACGAAATTTATCCCTGATAATATCGAATATTAAACAATGTCCAGAAAATCAATTCTAAAAGTTTGTGACGATGGTGCGTTGTTGAACACTTTTCTGGATATTTTACATTGTCTAATAAATAAGATAATAAAATCCACGACGTTTCGGAAATCGTCTAATAAATAATATAATAAAATCCACGACGTTTCGGAAATAGGGATAAGCTCTATCGATTGGGCCTAACTGAGTAGGTCTACCTGAAGAAGGAAATAGAGTCCCATCTCCGAAACGTCGTGGATTTTATGATTTTATTTGTAAAAAAACGCAATATCTGCGAAGCGCAATATAACGAGGTATGGCTGTATTTTTGTTTATTACTAATGCGTGACCCTATTCTTAGATGTGTCTTAACACGAATTAACACCAATGACACAATTTTAATGTCGAAAGAAGTAACTCGTTTCTTGGAACTTGTAAAAAGATAAAACCACTTCAGTTACTGCATAAAAGATAGATTTAACCGGATCCAAAACTCGGGAATAAAAACTTCACTACAATGGCTGTCTTCTGGGTTGTGTCGCCGTGTAGTCTGCTACAAGTTTACCGACGTTTCAGAGGGCCTCTTCAAACTCACCGTCGTGGAAACCTCAAATCTTATACACGAAATATCCTTAATTTTAGTAATTTGGTTCTATTTTCAGGTTCAATATAGTCATTGAAATCACGACAGGTGTCATACATACACAAACTAAAATAAGCATCCGTACATTCTTGGAGGATAAGTTCACTTTAATTATTGAAAGGATAGGAAAGTGTACTCCAATTTGGAGATTACACATAGGCCTATGTAAAAATACGTTCTTTGTTAATTCTTAACTGAAATAGACATTTGTTTGCACAGCTAATCGCATTACAGATACCTGTAAATCGTTATTCTTGAAGCTCGTTAAATATTAATTACATTGAAACTATTTCAAACAAAAGTAACACATTTTAATAACGCCTGCATGTTATGCCATGTAAGATACACATCAGTTGTTTTCTTAGACATGGAGAAAAATACAGATTAGATCTTAATGTAAAGTAGGGTTGATCCATGTTGATAAAAATGACTCCGGGCCTAATAAGAATAATTTCGGTAGTTTTAAAAGTGAGAATGTTGATGGACGGACGGACAACCACTCTTCACAGTAGGCTTCAGTTTATGCACGTCCTGAAAATAACACGAAATCTGCCCACTTTCAAACAAAACGCCTTATAACGATCAGATTTTTCTACGGTCTGAGTGAAGCCTCACCGAACCATGAAGGCGCTACATAACTTCGACTCTTATTTTTAATTTATTTGTGAATTGTTTAACGATGCTGTCAGCATCTCAGGTTATAGAGCGATGAAAGGATTATTAACGAACAATGAATTGGAAAGGATATGGAACAAAGCGTTCTTAACCTGATGTGAGATAGTATACCAGCAGTCGTCTGGAGGGACTGAGGAAAAGCACAAAATATCTGTCAGGATTCTCGGTATCACGGGACAATATTTGAATCCAGGACCTTCCGAATGCTAAATACACGGCTGAGATGTTCGGTATCACTGTCTCCTAAAAAGTTAAGAACAGTCAATAATAATCTACGTTGTTATTCTATAGTAATGTTTAGATGTTTAATCTTTTTGCAATTAAACGCGAATTTAGATGTCCATAATAGTCACACCGGGACGAACTAAGATCTCCCAAAATTTGTTAAGTATTTCGTCTGTCAAAGATAATTGCGTAGGTGGGTAATTATATTTGCGTAGAGGCCGGTTCGGATTAATTTCTTCAGAAAAATTACCATATATCACCTACTTCAAAACATCTCTGAATAAACAACTACACATTATACTTGTCGACTTAACATAATTAAAATATACTCGAAAGTAATAATTTTCATTATTAATTATTAATATCGTATACACTGATTGTTTTATGAACAGATATACCAAAATCTACAGTGAACCATTTTCAATGGTGTGAAATATAAACAATTGTAGAAATAACATTTATCTTTTACGCTCATATTGACAACACGTGCTTTAGATCGTTTGCAAGGATTCCATTTCATCTTTTGTTGTAGCAAAAAACAAAGTCATCGCGGTAGTTGAGGACAGGCAAAAACCTGTAGGTTCTTGTGCTAGACATTGAAACGACTAGTGAAATCTGCAGTCACTTTCGTTAAAACCGTCGCTATACAAACCCTGTGAAATAAAAGGAAAAGCCAAGTCACTGTACAAGATTTAATAGAATGGCTGAAGAGAGAACAAGTATTACGTCACCACGTCTGAATAATATATATATATATATATATATATATACGACACTCCTTTCTCTCCACGTGGATTCGACATAAGAACCTCTTCATGTAACTGACATTTGACGAATTCACTGTACTTCATGTAAGGTCATGTAAGGTACATCCCTTAGACTGCCTTAATTGACGTTAGATCACTGAGACTTTCTTTGAAAAATGAATGCTCAACCGGTTAACAAGTTCCTTAGTTTTATGAGACGCAAAGTTAGTCACCGTTTTCACATTGGAACAGGATCGCAGTTTTTATATTAACCGTGTTAGTCCGTCTAACATATTTTGAAACAAAAAAAGAATTCTCCTGTCTTGCTTTCGTGGTTAAATGATACTTTATACACTACGGTGTAGCAGAACCGATCAAACAAAACGCACTGTCAGCCATCTCGACGGTAAAGTGACTTAAGCTTGCTATGAGCGTCTGTCTGGCTGATGCTGACTAATTATCTTTAACGTTTCTGGTGTGTTGCATTATATGGGGTACCACTGAAGCGAGAAAGTCAGACTAAGAATATTTTTTTATATTTTGTTTCTCGAAGAAGCAACCGGGCTGACATGATCCCTCCGCCCTGCTATGGAAACTTCGTTGTGTTAGTTTATAGCCATCATGTTTTTAATGTAAGGAATTAAAGGTGTACCCAAATAGTAGCACAACTTGCATGTCGACTGAAAACAACGAAATGCATTTTAATATGATGATTTTATAAGACTGTATAAAATAAATAATTAATGAAATATCAAATTATTATATTGGTCTTAGATTTCTCTCCGGAAGTATTGATAGACTTCTTTGTTTGAACTAACCTAACAACATTACGTGACCTATATAAGCGTTCAAATTTTGTAACTCCTTCTTTCTCCGGGGGTTAAGCAGATGAAAAATTTAGTGCAGATGTTAAGAATTCATGGAGTTTTACCTTCATCCCCACACATGTTTATTACGCTGTGCTCAGACACAAGAAACAATTAACCCTGAATACAACATAACCCCACAGGACTTAAACATTTCTTTTGATTTATAATAGTTTTCGTTTGGTAAGATTTAAGGTTCTCATTGCGGTGAGTACAAAGATGGCTGTCTTCTGGGCCGTATCGCCCTGATGATGGAGGCAGCAAGGACCTCTGAAACTTCTACCAGACTACATAGCGCTACAACCCAGAAGGCAGACATCTTAGATTAGCAAGTCTACTACACCGCGCATACCCTAATCATTTATTTGCGATAAAAATCATGAGGAATTAATGGTATATATTTAATCTGAGTGTTACCGGCTCCATTTCCGTTGTCACCACGCACGACGCATCCTAAGACTGAAAACAAAGGACACGTCCTTCAGATATGGAGGGAAACGTATTAAATATTCGCTAAAGGCCAACAGGGATTTCCTCCAGCTTGGGAATTGAATGTTACACAGAACCTCTCTCATTTTCTTTCAAAAACAGACAAAGAATTTAAATATAGGCCTAATTTATCTACAGCGTCTGAAAAAAACACTCGAACATTGTCGTGTAAGACGGTTTCCATGCCATGAATCAAATCCGGGTCCGACCTACTATGAAGGAGCAATGCTTAACCATATTTGTCATGGGTACTTGCATTACGAACTCTATGGGCCAGACTGAGCTCATTGTCACAACCATATGCCATCACATACCTACTTCTTAAGGAACCTGAGACTAATAAGCCCATTCATTATGGTCAATGTTGCAATAGGGCGAGTTTATGTCTTTGTGAAACATGGGCAACCTATCCCCCAGATGAGAAATGAGTGATGAGTGAACTGTAGCAGCAATGGAATAATACAGAGGAAAACCGAAGGCCTTGGAGAAAATCTTTTCTAGTACTTCTTTGTACCACAAGTCCCACGTGGACTGACCTGGGCGTAAACCCGGACGTCCGTTGCCCTAGTAGGTACATCTAAAGTTGAGTGTCTTAATCTTGACCTTAATATTTCAATTGAAAGTCAGATATCCGGCGTACAGCTTCCAGGTCAAACAAGGACAGATGAAGCCGTTGAGTAACCCGACGTAAAGCAGGAGGGCACGTCGTATTTACCCAGCGAGTTTCCTGTTTGACTCCTTTCGGAATGTTATCAATGAAAGCGAACTTAAGACAAGATACGTAACTTGTATTAAGATGATTCGTCTGACAAAACAAGCAGATACATTTACTATATGGAGCTGCTTTCTACCTGTTTTCTTTTCGATGTTCCATATATTCGACTTCAGAGTGATATCCAAAGGCACAAGTCCATTATTTTCAAATTTACATTGCACAGATATACGAAGACAAATATTTCCTCCGCATTAAGTTTAGTTTTCAACTTATCATTATCGATTTTTTTTCAGAAGGGATCAGCTACAATACAATCGGAAATCCCTCTCTTCAGCTCGAAACAAATTTACTGTATCATAAGACACCCTGTTCTCCGAACTTCAAAATCTGAGCCCTGATTTTTCGAGATTATCAAAGATACTTCTGTTGTCCGAAACTTACCAACTAAATCGAATTGTTTCAGCACGAGGGAAGAAGAAGAGGTTGAAGATGTTGTTGCCCCTTCTGCTGCTTTTCAAGCTGAAGGCTGCTGCTTTGATTCCCCTGGCACTGGGCGGCTTGGCACTCCTGGCTCTGAAGGCCCTACTTGTGGGTAAACTCGCTCTGCTCCTGGCAGGACTTATCGGCCTCCAGAAACTACTGGGAAACAAGCAAAACACCCAAACCTACGAAGTAGTGGCTCACCCACATTACACGCACAGTTCCTACGGCGATGAACATGGGCACGGTCACTACGGCAGAGCTCTACCCGACGCCGAGAACAACGATCCACATCAACTCGCCTACCGGGCGTATTCTGCCGACACGAAGCAGGAATAGTTGAAATTACCAGGCTTAAAATATAAACTACACAAATCCTGTTTCCAAGTCGTTTTCATGGGTGTAAAGACGATGTCAAGAATATTTATGCTGAGGTCGCAATTAGATCGAGTCCGATATTTTATTTTGGTAATGTAACTGTCGTTTGTTTGTATACAAATGCACTTTCCGGAGAGAAATAGTCACGCAAAGGACAAATATAAAGTCTTTTAGCACCTAAATTATTTAATTACAGACGAAAATTAGTATAACAATGTAAACCGCACTTTATTATAAAACAATGAAAAACATCTAAGAAAATATTTCTCAGATACACGCTACCTCTTTCACACTAAATATCAACAAGCAGATCTGTTTTCCATAGACATTACTAGAGACTAAACTGGATACTTGATTCGTGGATAGATCAGAGACTTATATACTTTTACACGACAAAACCTAAAGAACACAAATTCCGGAGAAGAATTGGTAATTATCTTAGCCTATATACTGTATAACGACATTACTTATATCACATTTACTAGCATTTAAACGCTTAGTCATTTTATTGACTGTACAAATAACCGTATTATACTTGTATATTTCCATGGAAACCCAAAGTTTCCGTTCTTGGATACCAACAAATAATTATTATTATTATAATTTCTGAAGTAATGAGTAAATTAAAGACTGGAAAGAATAATACCTCAAAACGACATATCTCTTTCTTAACACTGAAAAGATTACATATATTTCTGTTAAATGTTTACATGTGAATATTTTTGAGGAAGTTATATCTTGACTTTTAAATTGGACATTGACTTAGAGATGAAAAACAAAAAAATCTTGAAGTTTATCGTAACTTAATTAAGTGAAAAACCATAAACAAAATGCTGACAAGAGATTCATGTTCCCATCACCCACGATTAGAAGCCATTGCTTTAAAACATTAATTACGATAACGCGGAACTACTCGGGGAAGGAGTATTTCTCAACACGACCAAAGATGTGACTAACAACAAAACATTAGTTCTGTTTTACTTTTGATGAGACTGTGAGTAGTTAGACCAGGACGCAGGAAAAAGAACTGACGTCACACACGGTAAGCGCTGTGACTGACTGACAGAATGACTGGTTTCATAGACGACCCCGGCTAACGGAACATTCACTGACGGCGACTGCTACATATAACTAGGTCACCAACTTCAACATTAAAACTAAAACAAACAAAATATTTATAATTATCATTGTTAATATTGTTGAATTACATTTGTATGTTCCATTCTTAAATTAATTATTTAATAATTTAAATGTTTCTTAATAAAATTTGATATTTTTAAGTTGCAAGTCTATTTATTTCAAAACACATTAACATTTAACCCATCGAAAAAAACTACGATTAGCTTAATATGCAGGTCAGACGGTAGATACAACAAATGCTTGCAGAAAATTGTTGTGGAACCCACTAAGGAAATTCTCACTTGAAGAAATGCAAAAAAACTTGAAGGGTACAGGAAGGGTACATTTCAGAAAGGCAGAATGTGATGACTGGAAGTGGACAGAAGTTGTCACTAATATTGAGCAGTTGCTACATAATTACAAGTGCGTGGCACAGCATATTTATTATCGAAGATTGCTATCTTCTGTGTTGAATCGCCCTGATGACGGAGGCAGTATGACCTCTGAAACGTTGGTAAACATCGACCAGACTACACAGCGCAACAACCCAGAAGACAGAAATCTTCATACTCATCGCCCTGATGATGGAGGCAGTATGACCTCCGAAACGTTGGT